CCTCCAAATATGCATATCTGAGATGTGGTAGTAGTTGCTTGAGTTCCAAAACTGGCGGCAGCTGAATGGAAGGCAGTGACTTTGTAGTTTCTATCCCAAGTTCCTTGAAGTGCCTATTTCGGGTGTATGGTGGGTTGGTCTCCAAAAACCTTGCACATGTTTCAATCTCAAGAGAATCTGAATGGATTGATCGGGACTGTGCAATACATGCCTCATAGGCATCGAATGGACCGTGAAGTAAGAATGTCTCCCGTACCACCTTGTCAATGACATCAACTTGGAAACAACTATTTGATTTTGCTGGAAGTTTCATGGCCTTGAAGACGTTAAATGAAATTTGTTCCTCCCCCCATCTCAAGATCAACTGCCCCCTCTTAACATCAATTAAAGCTCTCCATGTTGCCAAACAATCTGTCAAGTATCAACACAACATCTTTGTCTTCTTCCACGTCCAAGATGAGGAAATTTGCAGGGAATATAAATTTTTCAACCTTGATAAGCACATCTTCAATTATTCCTCTGGGATGTGTTAGTGATCTGTTAGTTAGGTAAAGTGTCACAGTAGTCGTGATGCGAACTCGTGAGCAATGAACACTTATGAGCCCACAACGAGATTGCCACAGTTTCCAAGAACGCCAATAATCGACGGTTTGTGGATTTAATTCCCAAACAATGAACTAGGCAACCGTAGATATATTAAATCTACAACCTCCTAATCACCAGGCTTATGAATCTCACCGGGATAATTGTGAACGCCACAAGAATTAATAATTCTTGATAAGTTCGGTATTGTGCCGAAGCATCACGCCTCTTGAGAGAAACTCATTTTTAATTCATCATCAAACTAGATGTTCAATAAATGAAAATCCTATTTATACTAAAGAGATAAAACCTAATTAAAATTGGAATAAACTCCTAAACTATGGTAAAAGCGAGATTATAGACTCCTAGAATAGAGAAACTGCCAAAAATAAGTATTTCAACAAAAAGGAAACTCTCACACACAAAACAGAAATTTTTGGCTCGACAAGTACTATGTGAGCACAAGGTATAATGTGCTGTGGTCGCATGGTTCACAGCAACTGCCCCTCTCAAATCCCTACACCATGGTATGTGGCCGCATGGGTCTAACTCCTTGTGATCGCTAGGTTAAATGCAAAGGCCCCTTTTTTTCCGGATTCTTTCAACCAATTGATGCATCTTGTTTTATCCTTCGACCCCTTCACGTAACTTTGACTTTGGCATATTATCTTCATCATGTTGAACCCCATAACCTTGACACTTGATTACATGACTTTATTGGCTTGAATTTTCGCTCAAATATCGGCTGCGATCTCTCAACATGTGTTAATTCACTACCATCTTGATGCGCATCCGGGATCACATCATCCCCTCTCTCTTCGAAAGGATTCGACCTCAAATCCAACCCTTGATCATCTAGATTGTAGCTCTTACTCGCGATCATGGTAAGAACATGAAATGGTCCATCGCCTCTGGGATGTAACTTGGACCGCTTTTGTCTTCGAACTCGCTTCTTGCGTATGTAAATCCAATTTCCTTGACAAGGATCAAAGTGTTCACTCCATGACTATTTATTCTTGCAATTTTGAAATGCTCCATAAACTACTTCAGCTCATATATCACCATTCCTTCTTCTTGTTCCCTCTCGCCTAGGTAATTTTAGCAATGATACTTCAAAGGGATTTATGTTCCTCCCCAGATTGTGATTTTCATTCAGTCCACTGTATGTGACTTCATTCCGATGCCATTGATACTTCTTCACTTCTTCAGGGATTACAAACTCAATGTTTGGAATTGAAAAGATCTCCAGATGATGATGTTGTCGATTTGCTCCTTCCACTAATTCATTTACAAATTGAGGCTCAATTCCTGGGTTGTAAGGGATTCCAATTGGCTCATCAGTAGGGACTAATTTTTTAAATTCCTGCATAACAGGTATAGCAAAACGGGGGATGGAAATATTAGTTATCGCTAAAGCCCTTTCAACTCCACTCTCCTTTCCATTTAAGCTTAATCCTGACTCTTTTTTTCTCTCCAAAGATTCTCCTCCTTCCTTAGCCACTCACCCTTCCCATTTTCACTCTCAACTTTCTTTTTCTCCTCCAAAGATTTTTCTTCAACTTCTTTTTGTAGCTCTGATAAGAGTGTAAAATACCATATTTCTCCCTCTTAATTATTGCATTCATGCAATTATATTATGCCAAAATGCACTGATTACTCTTATGTTTTGGTTTATGTTGCATTTTGGTGAAAACGAAGAAATTTGGAAGAAACAAATGAAAAATGACCAAATTGAGAGAAAGTGAAAGTTCAGGGAGCAAGTTGCAAATAATCCATAGATGAGATGGGTGATGGAATGATGATTCAAGAATGATTAGAGGTCAGGTGGATGAGAAAAGAAGTCAAAAGAAGTGAAATATTATCATAACATCTTCACATATCAATTTCCAATCGAAAAAGTTACACAACTATTTTCAGCCACATATTGGGACCCCCTTTTGACATGGAAGATGATCGAATTTGAAGATGACTTCAAAGTTGTAGCCCTTTATGTTAGCTTTCCAACGCAACTTGAATAACCTCAATAGGATGTCGGAAGAGAAAGTTATGGTCAAAATACTAAAAGATGTCCGGTGGAGAAAATAGCAATAACCATGCGGCCGCATGGTTATAAAGCCATGCGGTTGCACAAGCACCTCTAGAGAATTTCAGAGGCCAAAATGTTTCTACCATGCGACAACAACACTTATAACCATGCAGCCGCATGGTTATTTCTCGAGGCCAAAATCTCAGTTTCCTTATACAGCTCAATCTCTTATGGTAACCTAATTTTCACGGGATATAAATGCCCAAAACCACTTAGAACGAAGAGAGATGCTTCCAGACCTATTTCTTTCATCTTGGTGCTCAAGAAACTCCATGAAAAACTAAGGAACTTGGTGAAGCTACGAAGAAACTCAATCAGTTTTGGTGATTTCGACATCTTTAATTTATGTAATTGAGTTTTTCATTATTAAACAATTTTAGAATCGAATTTCCATATCTTGAATGTGTTTTTTACATTAGTTTAACAATTATTAGAGTTTCCATAGATTCAGTCATGCTTTCTCTATCGAATATTCGAAATACTTGTTGAATTGCAATTTAAATTAATTAAAATTGTTGGTATGGTTCTCTACTACCGTATGCTCATGTATATGGTCGTTTTTTAATCTAATTCCAATAATTAATTGTGCAAATTTGTTTTTAGGAAATTTGATCTCTAGAATTATCATAGAATTTGTTAATGTCTTTAATTGAGTAAAATCACATGAATTGATGGATGTTGAATGACACAAACCAGTTGGGGAAATTCGGATGCTTCACTTTCTTACACATTGATTTAATTTTACTACATAAACCTTGATTTCATTCAAACCATAAAGTCATTACAAATTTTGAGAGAACCATCACCTTTTGATTCTTTGGATTATTGTCTATCTCCCTGTGGATACAACACCCCAAAGCTATACTACAATTTCCGCGTTATGCTTTGGGCTTAATCAAATTTTGATGCCGTTTCAGGAGAGACGGTATGAGTAATCAAGGGATCGACGGAAAAAGAGTGACATCATTCATTTCCTTTCATTTTTGTTGGATTTAATTTTTTTAGTGTTATTTTTATTTTGTTTTCACACATTTTCTTTGTTTTTTGTGTTTGATGAGCAGGGATCGAGGCGATCAAGGCAGTTCTACTAGAGCACCTTATCCAATGTTTGAATCTCGATATAACCCTTATTTTGCTACTGCATCAATTGCCACGAACACCTCAACACATAACACAATGTCTAATATTGAGCATGGCGATGCACCTTATAGGACTTTAAATGATTATTTGCACCCCACACGTACATCTACACCATCATGCATAATGTTTGCGCCCAATATGCCATGTATGGAACTAAAATCGGGAATGATTCAACTTCTTCCCACTTTTCATGGACTTGACAGTGAAAGTCCATACGTGTATATTTGGGAATTTGAGGAGTTAGTTGAGACCTTCCACAATCAACATGGTGCAACCGATGTAGTCAAGTTAAAAAATTTCCCCTTTTCACTTAAAGAGAGCAAAAACGTGGCTATATTCGTTGAGACCACGTTCGATTGGTACATGGGCTGAAATGACGCAAGCATTTTTTAATAAATACTTTCCCCACCATAAGACTAGCGCCCTAAAGAAGCAAATCTCATTTTTTGCCCAAAATAATAGTGAGACCTTATATCAGGCCTGGGAGAGATTTAAAGAACTACAAGCCCTTTGTCCTCACCATGGTTATGAGAGTTGGCATATAGTTAGCTACTTTTATGAGGGATTAACACCTAGGGAGCGTCAATTCGTAGAGATGATGTGTAACGGTGATTTCCTACAAAAGGATCCGGATGAGGCCATAGAGTATCTAGATGACTTTGCTGAGAAAGCTCATACTTGGACTGGACCGAGCCCTACTGATAGTACCAATAGGTCACGACCCATAGGAAACTCCACTAGTACATGTATCTACCAACTTAGGGAAGAGGATAGTCTTAAGGCCAAAGTGGAAGCCCTCACTAAAGAACTTGAAACCTTGCGTGTTAAAGGCTCTAAATCTACACAAACCATTTCCCATGTTGAATCTTTAGGGCCTTGTTTTATGTGCGGTGGAGTAGATCACCCAGCCCAAGAGTGCACCACTTTAACTGAGATGAGAGGGGTTTATGAGGAATATTGAAATTCCTTAGGCACATCTAGGAAGCCCTATTCTTCTTTCTCCAAATCCTATAACCCATGGTGGCGGAATCATCTCAATCTCAGATGGAAATCTGAAAACGAGCAAACTACCCAATCAAATAGAACTTACAGCGCACCATCATATCAACCCACACCCTCTAGGAACTCTTTAGAAGATACCCTACATGCAATCATAGAGGCACAAGGTAAGTCCAATAAGAAGTTTGAGACTATGATTAACCAAGTAGTGGAAGAAAATAAGGAGATAAAAAATCACGTGTCTAAATGGACCAATGCCTTAGCTGAAGGGGAGCGTGAGAAATTTCCAGCACAAGCTCAACCAAATCCTAAGGGACAACACATGGCTCAGAACTTGGGTTCAGGAGAGAGTAACCTTAAGAAAGTGAATGCCATCACCACTCGATCGGGAAGGTTATAGAACCAATTTCGAAACCTAGGGAAAATGAAAAGGAGTCTAGTGAGTCTGAAGAAAGTAGACCTAGTGATGAGGTAGTAGGAAATCCATCTAGAGTACCTTTTCCTCAAGCACTTAAGCTTAGCCCGAAAATAGTCAATCAACACAGTGAGATCCTAGAGCACCTTAGGCAAGTAAAAATTAATCTACCACTCTTGCATGTAATTTCACAAGTTCCTACATATACTAAAGTCCTTGAGGACTTGTGCACTGTGAAAAGGAGACACATCATCAAGAAAACCGCCTTCTTGACCGAACAAGTGAGTGCTGTGATTGAACAAATGATCCCACAGAAATATAAGGACCCTGGTTGTCCAACTGTTTCCTGCGTCATCGGGAACCATGAGTTTGCACAAGCTCTCCTTGACCTAAGAGCCAGTGTTAATCTCATGCCCCATTCCATATACATACTGTTAGGTCTTGGTGAAATTAAACCCACTTCTGTGGTTCTACAACTAGCTGATAGATCCACTATGAGACCTAGGATAGTAGTTGAAGATGTGTTGGTTCAAATTGATAAATTCTACTACCCCATTGATTTCTTATTCTTGGATGTGAAGGTTGATGTTAATGTTGATTCTAAGATTCCTATTATTCTTGGTAGACCTTTCCTTGCCACAGCTAACGCCCTTATAAATTGCAGGAATGGTCTAATGGAATTGTCTTTTGGGAATATGACTTTAGAAGTCAACATTTTCCATATTACTAAGCAACCAATGGAAAATGATGAGTGCCACCACACATATATGATTGATGCACTCGTTGAGGAGGAAGCACATGCGCTTATTGACCCCGACCCTTTAATTCTTTCCTTTTAAATTCTGAAGTTTCCACAGGGTATGATAATGAAGAATATGCTAATATTTGTGCTACTTTTGATTATTTTTAGGATTATGGTACACCACCAATGACGACCTCCAATGAGCTTGGTGCAATGGAAGAAAGATTGACAACGCCCTAGCTAGATGTGGGCTAAAGAAGCAAACATTGGGTCGCGCCAACGAAAATAAACAAAGGCGTTGCTTGGGAGGCAACCTAAGGGAAGTTCATTCCTTTCTCTTTCTTTCTATTTTTATTTTTGCATTTTTAGGTTTGTTTTCATTCCATGCATTCATCACCAATTGAGAACTATCGGGCTTCCTGTACATCAAGTTTATATGATTCACTTTGTTATTTAGGTAACATCTTTCCTTACCTTCATTTTGTGGACATGTTTGTTGCATTGAGGACAATGCAATGTTTAGTTGGGGGAAGAGTGTATTTGAAATTTTATTGTGAATTGCATACTTTACATGGAATTTTGGTCTAATTTTTTTAAGTCCCTAATTCGCTACTAGGCCATTAGGAATTAATATTGTTCATGAAAGTTTGGATATTAAGACATTTGCTGAAATTTTTTTGTACACACAATCCTGTGGTAAGATGGTGATTTAACATATGTAGCTAGAAAAATCTCTTGCTAAAGTTTTCATGTAAGAATTGGTGAGGATTGAGAGCCACAATATACTAAAATTGTAATAAGTGTTCATTGATTGTGTGAATTGGAAACTTCTTCTAAGAATAACATTACACAGTCTGTGGTAAGATGGTGGTTTATACTTGGGAAATGGTAACAGTCAATTTATGTAGCGACCGAGAAAAAAATGTTTTGTTTCATTTTAAAATAAAATTTTCTTGTAGGACTCAAAAATAAGTTGGGTTATATTATTATGTCGCTATGACACTTCCTAATAGTCCAAATTAAACTTTGGTCATGGAAGTAAAGTTTCACGTACTTGATTTTCTTAAATTTTACAAGGTGTTAAAATCGCTTTTAAAATGACAAAATTTCATTTTAATTTGGTTACATTATTTTTCTCACAACACACTTTATTTTAATGCTACCATTTTGATTTCCATTTTGTAAACTACTTTTTTAAAATTGGACTGTTTACTTGCATGTTTCATCATCCATCATTTATACTTCAACTTACTATTTTAATGAACTTTCATTTTTGCCAATGCAGAAACCGTCCCTGATCATTCATTTGAAAATCAAATTACAACTCCAATTTCATCCATTAACCCTCATTTAGTATATTAAATTTCAAACATGTTCATTGTTAACTTTTCAAACATGCTCATTGTTAACTGCCAACCAATTTCATTTCTTTAAACTGCCATTAGTGTTTAATTATCCACAAACCAATAATTTTTTCCATGAACAGTCCATTTGAAAATCAATTTACAAGTTCCATGCCAACCATCACTTTCATTTAAAATTTAAAACACAATAACCACCCACAATTTCTAAAGGCATGTCCATACTTATTGTTGGAAAACTAACATTTCAAAAAGGCCATAACCCCCCCCCCCCACTTTGCATATTAATAAACTCCAAACCTATTAACTACTTTGCCAATCAGTTTCATTTCATTTTTTTTAAAATGAAAAACTACCATTTAGTGTTTGATTATCTCACAAACCAATTTCATTCACATAAACTGCCATATGAATTCAAAGGATTATAATGGCACGTCCCTATCCCATATTGCCATTTGAATTTGGGAGTTTTTGTCTTTTTTATGGTCCAAAATATTATTTATAAAACTACCATTACAACTTACCATTAACCACCACAATTATCAATTGCTATTGAGTTTGGAGGCTACTGTACGTCTTGTTCAATATCCATTTGAAAGTCAATATTTTAAATTTTAACCTCCTCACTTACTTTTGTAACCTCCAATTTTAAATACAACCACCATCCCCATTTCCTCGAGTGTAACCTCCATTTTTTTTAATACATCTACCACCGCCACTTTACTTAGAATTTGAATTAAAACTGCCCTTTTATTTTCAAAGTCCCCAACTCACACGCATAAGTAACGTTTTATTATAATCCCATCTCTCTCTCATGCACAGACACATAATTCTGGTGTAAATGGAATGGCATGCTCAGCCGCCTTCTCAATTTCAACTCCTTCAGCCATGTTTTATCGTCCAAACTATTATACTCCTACATAAAGTTATTTTCCCTTTTCTCTTTCATCAACATAAAGTACTTTAAATTTGAAATTTCTAAAGAAAATGCAAGAAGTACACTACGTTTTATTCCATTGGACACGAAATGATATTTCAAACTCCAAGCATTAAGGTAGGGGTGTTTCGGCGCTTTTGTGAGTGATGAAAGACTTATATGTTTTCATTTGCATTAAACTTACTATTGTGTTGCTCATGATGGAATCACCGTTTGGTGGTTTATATGAAGAGATGATTATGATAATTGAAATGGGGTTATCAAAACTTACAAGTAAGCGGACTTGACTGATTACCAATTCGCTTGAAATTGACGGTGACACAATCAATTAAAGTTTGCATTTCTGAAAATATATGTTTTTATCATTTACTTAAGTGCTTCCTACTGAGTATTATTTATAGTACTCACCCCTTCTAAAAATTTTACAGGTTAAGATCGAGGCATGGCAGTGGTTGGCGTAGTGGCAAGTGTTCAGCGATCTGAAATGCTTTCACGTTAAAAATTTCTATTTTGTAAATATTTTATCGAACTTAGATGATTCTTTTAGAAATGCTTTTAATGTTTATTTTGTCCCGTTTTTAGACAATGCATGTTAACAAGAATTTAAAAGTGTTGGATTGATTTGTATGAAGTTTTATTTTATGCTGAGTGGAAATTTCAGTTTCTGTCCTTCTAGTTGAAAATAGCAGAACTTGGCTACAGTGCATGTTTTAAAGTGAAATTAGTTGAGTTTAAAATATCTATAAATCTTCTATATGAAGCCTTTGGAATTTCCTTAAAATATTATCTAGAGAAAAAGTTATGCTTATTTTAGTAAACTGCGTTGTTACAACTCCAAGCTTTCAGTCCAGCATTTTAGAGCAACATTTTCGTGCTTCAGACGTTATCATTGAGACCCCAAATTTTTATATGTGGTACATATACGAATGCTTTAGTCTCTGATAAAATTTCATAACTTTTAGTCGTTGTTTACTAGACCAAACATATTTTTCTTTCCACTGCTGCGTAAACCGTATTTGCTGTAATTTTTCCCAAATGTTTTTCAAAAATCAAATTTTACCATAATTGTCTAAGTTTACATGGGAAAATGTCTCTCTTTATTTTCCATATGTTTCAAAATCCAAAAAAACTTTCTAATTTACAAATTACTTTGGCCAACATCTAAGGGGACGAACCAAAGAAAGAAATGATTATTTTTAACGCTTCGGGTTCCGAGAATTCAGGGCGTTACAATTTAGGATTGAACTTAAGCCTTCAAACCAGTTCTTTTTCATAATTATAATTGCCTAGTAGCCACTTTGAGCCAATACACATACATAACCGCTTCTTTTCATGTGCCTAAGTTATCCATACCTCCTTACATTGGAATAAAGACTGTGAATAGTAAGTTTCTACCTTTATGCTTCCAAGTGTACAGTAGGTGTTAAATGTTCATTTGAGAAGAAAAGCAACGAGGAAAGTGATAAGATATTATAAGTGCTTGGGTGAGGTGAAAAACACAAAAGGAAAGGGAATTTGAGAAAAAAAAATAAACAAAAGAAAAGAAAAGAAGAAAAAAATGGAAAAAAAATAAAAATAAAAATAAACAATGAAAAAAAAGAAGAAGTGTGGATTGTTGTTGGGAATTGAAAGGTTGAGAAATGCGTTGATGTAAAAGATTGCTATGTTGAAATACTTGTTGAGATGCCTAGCTAGATACTTGGAAGTCCTTAAATTCTTTTTACCCTACTTTTCATATAACCCAACTTAACCCCTTTCATACCCTTTGCATTGACTGTTTTGATCTCAAGTCGGTTTGTGATAAGAAGTTGATGAATTCTCATTTGAAAGTATGTCTATCATGTGATCAATGTTTGCTTGTTGCTTGTTCATAAATATTTAAGCCTCCATGTTCTGAGTGTGCATCTTTCCCAGCTCCATAGAGAGAAATCCCGCACTAAACACTTTAATACCCGTGAGTTATGGGCTAGACCTTTAGCTAGAGACACACTCGATGTTGCATGTGTTAGGGTTGGTGGTAAGATGGCTATGGCTTGACAGACACACACACACACACACACACATTTAGCAAATATTTTTAATATCTTGATAATCATAACATTGTTATTTTTTTGTGGTGTTAAGTTTGAAAAGATAATGAACTGTAGTTGAATTGGAACACAACAACTTCACTTATAATATGGATCAATCACTCATTTGTTTTGTTCTGCATTAAATTGCTAGGAACTAGCAATAAGCAAGTTGGGGGATGTGATAAGAGTGTAAAATACCATATTTTTTCCTCTTAATTATTGCATTCATGTGATTATATTATGTCAAAATGCACTCATTACTCTTATATTTTGGTTTAGGTTGCATTTTGGTGAAAACAGTGAAATTTAGAAAAAAAAAATAAATGAAAAAGGACCAAAGTGAGAGGAAGTGAAAGTTTAGGGAGCAAGTTGCAAATAATTCACAGATGAGATGGGTGATGGAATGATGATTCAAGAATGATTAGAGGTCAAGTGGATGAGAAAAAAAGTCAAAGGAAGTGAAATATGATCATAACATCTTCACAAATCAATTTCCAATCGAAAAAGTTACGCACCGATTTTCAGCCTCATATTGGGACCCCCTTTTGTCACAGAAGATGATTGAAATTGAAGATTACTTCTAAATCAAATTTTATTCCTTTGTGTTAGCTTTTCAACACAACTTGAATCACCTCAATCGGATGTCGGAAGAGAAAGTTATGACTAAAATACTAAAAGTTGTCCGGCGGAGAAAATGGCAATAACCATGCGGCCGCATGGTTATAAA